GTCCAGGGGGCCCTCTCTAATGACCCACCCCCATCCTTTTGGTCACTCAGGCTCTTGTTTTTTATTCTCCCTTCCTCTTCTATCTGAATGTCTGTCTCCGGTCCCTGGCCAAGGTCGCCTCGTTCTGTCACCTTGCATTCTTCCTCAAGGGGTTAATCCACCTGTCTTTCCCTTCCTTCCTTCCTTCCTTCCCTTCCTTCGGACTGCTCCCCCTTTGTTGGTTGTTCCTTTCCCAGTCTTTCCACAAAACCTAGGCTTTTGGGGTCTGTCAAGTGACTTCCACTCCTTTACCTCCAAGTCTGCCTCTGTGAGGGAACTGGTGGTTTCATAACCCTCTGTCTCCATGAGAAAGAGGGGAGGACATACCAACGGGGGAAGTGGCTTCCCTATCCTTCTACCCACCATCAGTCTTGGGCTTTTTCAGTAATGCAGAAATAACATAGCATTCAGCGGGGGGTAAATGCATTTATTAGTACTAACTAGAACAGATGGGGATGGTTTTTTGTGTGTGTTTGAAATACAGCCCTCGAAGTACTTGTTTGTTGCGAATTTTCTATCAAAGGTCATTGAAGATGTGAGAAATTGTCAGAGAAAGGAGAAACCTTCAGTTGAGCCATGTTCTTGCTGCTTTAATTAGATGAGTTTATTCTGTGCATTCTGAAATGTTCCTCTTCTCGACTGGACTGTGGTGTCACTGGGCATCTCATGTTTCATGCGCCGGTGTTAAACTTCTTTCCCTGCACCTTTCTGAGGTAAAAGCTGCTGAAAAGGCACATACATGCCCATGTATGCATGGATAAACACACACACAAAAACACTCAAGCTCAAAGGGAGTCTATTCAAGCAAGTAGACACTCGATCTCTCTTGGTTTTTCTTCCCCTTTCCTCTCTTTTTCTTTTCTTTTTTGTCTCCTTCCTCTGAAACACACTCCCGATAATGTTTCAAGCAATTTGTCTCTCTTATATGTCCCTTTTTAAAATTCAAACAAGCATCTGACGTGAAATCTAAAGAGAAAAGTACAGCATAATGCAATTAGTTTCTGTTCTGTTGGCGAACATTTTCTGAGACCCTCACTTTCCATTGGCCAGTGAACTTAGCAGACAACTAAATATAAAATAGATGCTCCCGCCTTTATCTCTCTCTCTCTTTCATGCACACAAATATAATTTTTCTTTATTTCATTGTTAAATAATTTCTGTAGTTGAAGTAAAGTCAGATAACATTTTAAACTAGCCCTTTGTCCCACTTTTGTTCAGTGCAATTAATAATCTGTGGTTTACTTCTTGTGTTTCTTTAACCCTCAAAATGTCATTAGATTCTTAAAGATAATTTTAAATTGGAGCATTCTTTTTCCAGGTTGTTATGTCTGTACGACAGCCTCCCATTATTGTATATTGTGATTTTTTTTTTCTGACTTGTTCTGTAGTTTCTTTCTGGTTGAATAATTGCCAGTTTAGGAGTGCAGCTTGATCCTAATATGCTTGGTGTCTGTTGCTAAATCTACTGAGCCATTAAGGTGCAGGATGTGTTCTTTGCAAAGGCATGCCTGAAAAAAGGAAGAACATATGGCTGAAGCAGAATGTTTTTGTTGCAAGCCCAGAGATTATGAACTCTTTCCAGAAGTGGTTTTTTCAGTTGTGCCAGAAAGCACATGTTAAAAATAGTTACAAAAAAATGAATTCCCTGTGGGCCGATTACCATATTTGGTATTTGTCTGCAGGGTCCCTGTTGAAGGTGGTTGGTACTATAAACCTTGAAAGCAGATGCTACCTGTTTTAGCAGGGAAATGAGCTCAAACCCTTCTCTCTCACCCAAATATCTGAAATAAATTACTTTTATCTGCTAGAGTTGACACTTAATACTTGCATAAAGTCATTTCTGACATCGGGAGACATTCCCAGGATTTTCTAGGTATAAACTACTGAGAAAGGACATCACCCGTCCCTCTTTTTGGCGGCACTCTAGGGCTAGGCATCTTGCCCACAACAAACCAGGTGGCAGGGCATGTCACCTCATCAGCCACACATGCCACAGGTAATCTCAGCTGGCCCCTCTTGTGGAGATTTGAACTCCTCACCCTAGCTCTAACGCCAGAAGCTCCAACTCACTGAGCTATACTAAATTGATGCTGAAGCCATAGTTGGCAAGATGATTAGGTGCTTCCCCCCATGTTTCTGTTTTGTCTTGTACTATCCATTACAGTATGTCTAATATCCCCTGCTCTCTAGCTGAGTAGTGGGAGATGGGTATCCCTGTAGATATATTGTACATTGAGAAAGAGGTGAAAGAAGCAAAGAAAACAGTGAGGATAATAAGCAAATACAAGGTCAATGTTACTGTTCCAGTCGAGAGGAAATCTGCACACACATTTTTTAAGGGCAGCCACAGGGGTTCTGCAATGTGTCATTCTTACCTAAAAGGACAACACAGTTCCTTTCTAGGATGACCATAGGGGTGGCCACAGCTATGTATTTCAAGGGCTGGCCATGCTGACTTGGGGATTCTGGGAGCCATTGTCCAAAGAACAACCTTTCCAAACGCTGCTCTTTACAATTTTTTACCTAAAGCAGCCATTCTCAGTAGGGGGCCATATTGTCCCCGGAAGGCCCCAGCCCTTGAAAGGGGCCAGAGATGGGAAACAATTCTTCTTACACCATTTTATAAGGTTCATTAGGCCAGAGGTCGTGAACCCCCCGGTCCACGGCTGGGTGCCGGTCTGTGGCCTGAGCCGGACTGGGCCACAAAGACAGACTTCCCACCCCACCCCTGCATGCACTCCCCTCCCCACAGCTGCTTTGCGCACATGCATGCATGCCACCACCAGTGTGAGCGCTCCCCTACCCCTTCACACATGCACCCGAGAGCCTGTACGAAGGAGTGTGCAGGCGGACGTGCAGGCACCCCTGCGCATGTGTGAAGGGGGGAGTGCTCACACCGGCGTTGGCAGACGGTTGCTCCCCCACCACTTCACCCATGTGCCGAGAGTGCGCGCACACCCACACCCACCTGCAGAGGCCCCCCTGCCTTCCTTGGAGGCTCAGCCTCTCTGCGGTCCCAAAAAGGTTGGGGACCGCTGCATTAGGCAACTTACATAATCCTGTTTTGGCCTAGATTTCTTTCATCTTGCGTTTATGGTCATGGCAATAACAAAAGAGTTAAGAATGGCTGACCTAAAGGGCTCTCAGAAGAACATATTCTTGATTGGAAGGATTTCCCAATCTAAGCCCAGTTATAAAACAGAGAGAGAGAGAGAGAGAGAGAGAGAGAGAGAGAGAGAGAGAAGGAACAGTTCATCTTGCGTTTATGGTTATGGCAACAACAAAAGAGTTAAGAATGGCTGACCTAAAGGGCTCTCAGAAGAACATATTCTTGATTGGAAGGATTTCCCAGTCTAAGTCCAGTTATAAAACTAAGAGAGAGAGAGAGAGAGAGAGAGAAGGAACAGCAGGCTTGAGCAGTCATATTTTTCACCTGTTTATAGCCTTTTCCACTTGTGATGTATTATAATTCTGTTTAAGTTCTGATAATGACTTCTTAGTTTGTACCACAGCTACAAATTTGCATTTGTATATACAAGTGGGGTCTTGACTTGAGAACTTAATCCGTATTGGAAGGCGGTTCTCAAGTCAAAAAGTTCTCAGGTCAAATCTGCATTTCCCATAGGAATGCATTGAAAACCATTTGATCCGTATCTGCTCTTTTCCGTCCATAGAAACTAACGGGAAGCTGCTATTCCGCCTTTGACCACTAGAGGGGGATATTTTGTTTCTTTTTTCTTTAGGTCAAGAAAGGTTCAGGGAAGGCAGGGAAAATACAGTCCAGGCAGTACAGTACCAGGCAGTCTGAAGACTGTCTCCCAATCCACTCTCTAAACGCTGGGAGGAGTGAGGAAGCAGACAGGCACCCTTTTCACTGGCCAACAGTTAACTGAAAGTTCCAATTTTGCACTTTCCCTGCCTCCCACGTGGGTTTTTTTCAGTTCTTAACTCAAATCTAAGTATGTAAGTCAAGTCAATATTTTCCTATGAGAGTGGTTCTTAAGTCAAAATGTTCTTAACTCGAGCCGTTCTTAAGTCAAGACCCCACTGTATAGGTTTTCTTTTATCCTCTTTTTAAAATGGTAACAGTTTTTTTGTGTTCAATTAGCCAAATAGTTCAATTAGTGAAACTGTAGTTCTGCAGAAACTCTGTTCTTATTAAATTTCTGAGACCCTCTAATTTCTGAGACCCCCCCCTCTTTTCCCCCACCACCCAGTAGCAACAATGGAGGGCAAAACTGAGACACTCACTGGGTATTTTGTTGGACACTTAGTTTTGTGTGACTGTTTATACAGAGCTGTCTTTCTCATTATACGATTAATTCATAATTAGTAAGTCTTGCTCTTTTAAGCACTTTACAGTTATTTTAGCTGATCTGAAGCTTTGCCAATAAGAGATGCTTTGCAGCTAACTCTTACAGTATGGTGATATGGGTTGGCCCATTCTGGGGGGGGGATCATTGAACAATATATGTTAATGTTGTTTTTACAGTAATTCATCCCAATTTCTTTCTAAAGAAAATTCAAATGTAACAGTTTTTGGCATTTATGTTTGTTTAATGGGTTTTTTTTTTGTTTTTTGTTTTTTGTATTTTGAGATATGCAACCAAGCATAAATTATCCCAGCAAGAACATATAATCAAGGCAAAAAAAGGAGTAATTAACAAGAATCTAGGTTTTTTATTTGTTTGTTTTTGGTTGTTTTGTTTTTTAAATCTGGTGACAAACTGGTTTGTTCCAACAAATCAGTAGGCTTAGCCAAAAAGTGTATGTACTTCTGTGCTGAATTAATATCACAATGTATATAGGTATAAAAATAATTAGCTCAACTGGTATAATGTAAGTCTGTCTAAATGAGATATGAAGTTTCCAACAGCTATTAGAGAAACCCTGTATGAGTGCCATAAAGATTCTTTGTACATGAGTCTAAATTCGATATGCTTTGTCTCATTCTCTGGCAGACACCTTGCATTTCTAAGACGGAGAATCAGCCACAAGGATTAGCAACCAGTGTAAGGTGGGGACAGACACCCATCAATCAGTCTACACCCTGGGACACCGATGAGCCACCTTCTAAGCAGATGAGGGAGACTGAAAACCCAGGTATGCCTTCAGCCTCATTTGTAATTCTGCTGGGGGAAATTGTTCAAAGCAAATTCAATATGCTGTCTCCAATTACCTCTCTAAATAAGACTTTATCATGAGTCCCTTTTTAAAAAAAAATATTACAGCTGGCTTTTCTTTTGAGTTGTAAAGACCCCTCAGGTCACTCCTACGTCAGGGCTAATATAAATGTATTAAGACGTCTGCAAGTTCATTAAAGCACTTTCTTTCCCCCTCTCCATCTCTGCCAAAGTTTAAAAAAAAAACACCACTACATAATACCTTAAGACCTCTTTTTATGTCCAGAGCCACCTGAAATGATTTCAGGCTTCCAGACACATATCATACATTGTGCAGCTATGCCAGACGCCTAATTACAATCTCTTTGTAGTGGCTGGAACATGGTTATTATACGCGCCAAGTGTTTGTCAGGGAGCCATGAAAACACGTTTGGGAAAGAGGTTAATTTTCTTGGAAGCATATACTTAAACTCCACAAAGCTGAAAAAGCTTAAACTTGTAAACATGCTGCATTGGGTAGTTGATCGGTATTTTTAGCATTTGCACTTTTCCTGCCCTACTGGAGCACTTGTAGGTACTTACCAGTCTGGAATGATTCCAGACCATCCTTCTATTGAGATGTAACCTACAGAGAATCCACAGAATCGCTAGATCACAGAATACTGTATTTAGAAACATTTTCGGAAAAAGAGAGAGAGAGAGAGAAAGAGAAGAAAGAGTTGGCGGGGACATCCTATTTGCCAAAATTGTTCTTATTGCTAGCTTTCCTTTTTCCAGGTACAGCTCCATGGGTTACAACAGTGGCAGCTGGTAGCCAGCCAGCTCTTATAACTCATTCTTATGGGATGACTCAACCTCCGACCTTCAGCCCAGCAGTGAACGTCCAAGCCCCTGTCATTGGAGTTACACCCTCACTCCCTCCACATGTTACCCCCCAGCTTCCATTAATGCCAGCTCATTACCAGCTTCAGCAGCAGCCTTCACAGCCTCTGAGTAACATGGTTGTGAACCTGCAAAGCCAGCCTTTGTACACTAACAGCCAACCCATTACTATGTCTTCTATGACAGGGGTTGGCCAGGTGACTCACCCGGGCCACAGTGCAGTAGGGAACTGTCACATGACTTGTCCTATCCTGCCTCCACCACCACCTGCTTTGCCTTCAGCTGCCCTACCTAATAGTGTTCCAGCCACCAATGGGCAAGCTGCTCCTCAGCTTCCTCCTAATCAGACGGGCAGTCAGGACAACACAAATGGGGTACAGATGCTACGGACTGTTGGTGTGGGGAAGTACGAGTTCACAGACCCTTGGCATCCAAAAGGTAAGTCAGCCCAGAACTCTTCATGTCTTTGGTACATGGCACTTGGGGAGTACGCACTCTTTGGGGGGGGGATGTAATATTCAAATTCCGCCCACCGTCCTGCAGTAAGAGGCGTCTGTGCCAATTCAAGCACCTGGAGCATTAACATTCCAGCATCAGTTTCCTGTCTTGTGTTTTGGGGTAGCTTTTCATGAATTAAAGATGACAAGCTGGTACTTCTGCAAAGACAGAAGAAATCTGTGCACTCGTTTTGGCTCAGAGTTATGCTTTCTTGGGATACCTCAAAAACAGCAGAGATGCACAGCTGAAAACACATGAGACAGCTGTCCCTCTTTCCTTCAGAGTGTTTATTTTTCTCTCTCTCCTTCCCTCTGTTGAGAAGCACTTAGTCATAAGTCACACCACTGTCTTTCTGATTTAAGCTCTTGTTTTCTGAGTTATGGTACTTTGCCTTGCATTTGCGGATTTCCTCGTGTTCAGTGTTTTAAGAAGAAATGGGTTGATGTTCCAATCATCTCTGGACAGTGAGTAGGGTTGGTCAACCTTTATTCCATGAACTGATGGTACAACAGAATATAGTCACACTGACCTTTGATCTGGTTATTAACTCTAAGGAAATGTTAGCATAGCAGCATATAGAGTAATACACATCACATAGTTATGAATGCATTTGATCTTGCCAAGACCTGTTTTGGGAGATTAGGATAGCAGTGAATCAGCATGTGAGTAAGCACTAGAAGGCCCAATGGGACTGCACAGCTTTGCACAGTCCAGTTCTCTGATTTGCTCCCCAGGGCAAGTGAGACATCTATTCTGGTTCTATGATGCAGTGTGCTGCTCCTCTGCTGACAACATTAGGGGCAGGTCACATGGTGCATTAATTTAACTTGGGTCCATGTTCATGTTTCGGGGGGGCGGGTGGGGGGGGGCTCTGAGCCTATAAGGAATGCAGCATCTTCTTGGCAACCTACTTAGGGAAGAAGACCGTGTAGTGGAAGACTGCTGCATTCTTACAAAGAAAACAGTTCGTGTCACCACTGTAATTATTGCTGTATGGAAGGCTCTTATCAAAGTTCTGAAAATGGAAATATTTTAGACTACAGCTCCTAGAATTCCCCAGTCAAGAGGGAGGAGTAGCTGAGTGGTTCTGGGAGCTATGGACCAACGAAGTAACTTTTCCAAATTCTGGCCATCACTCATATCAGCTTGAGATTTCTCCCTGGAATGCAGCAATCGACAGATATTTTGACTCACCTAGATTCTCTGACCTTGGTGGCAGTGCTTTAGGTGTAAGGCTATACTTAGATACAACGGAATGTCATATTTATCATGCAGTCTTACATGAGACACTGAAATGCCATTTTAACTTAATGCCAGTATTCTCTCTTCTTTTTCAAGTTAGCATATCTCTCTTTGAGAAATACTAATGTTCCCTATATATACCTGAAATGGAATGAAGCTTAAGAAAAATCTATTAAATCAGCATAAAAGACCACAAAGGCTCCAATAAGTCTGTAAAGCTATTTGTACATATGAGCAAAGCCCCTGTTTGAATTATATGCTAAAACCCTTCCACAGTTTGCTATCAAAGAACTTCATTACTGTTGAATAACTTCCATTTGGATATGAGTGGATCCATATCAAAAGCCCTGTATTTAAGCACAACTCCTTCACATACAGATATCAAGTATTTTGACAGTTTTCATCCTTTTTTTACTTCTTAATGAATATGAGGCATCATTAGTCTGTTAATTCATCATATATGCAAGCTGTTTAAAAGATGTATTTCCAAAGAAACCAAGGTGTTTTTTTTAATTTGCTTTAAAAATGTTAACAGCATTTCTAAGAGGGGCTTTATATATATAAAAAGCTTCATTAGTATATATACACATTTTAGATTGTGAAGATGTTTGCATTTTATTTTATTTATTTTTATTTATTTATTACATTTATACCCCGCCTATCTAGTCGAACGACCACTCTAGGCGGCTTCCAACATACATAACAACAACATATAAAATATGACAAAATATTTATACATCAGGATGAAAGGAAGAGTTTAAAAATAAGAAGAAAAAGAAAAGGAAATCGGGTATTAACTAGAGGGAAGGACCAATGTTTAGCACATGCTTTATTTTTAAAGATTAATGTCGCTTACCCAAGTTATGCAGTTTTTATCAACATGTTCTCACCATGGGGAACTCTCATTGGCCCAGGATTCTCATTTTGTTTAGTTGTGCATTTTACTTCGTCGCTTACCCAAGTTATGCAGTTTTTATCAACATGTTCTCACCTCATTTTGTTTAGTTGTGCATTTTACTTCTGTTGTTTTCCAAAATCATTTTTATTTTGCCCTTGTGTGTTGCCTAGGTTGCTGAAATAACAAGAACATCAACAACAACAAAAACAAAAGCATGCCACTTTTTTTTGTGACATAGCCTTAATACGGATCTCTCTGATCCTTTAGATTTCACTTCAAACCAGAGATGGACTCCATGCATACTTTACACGAAAATGAGATATTAGCTTTGACAGATGGCAGCTGTCAGTACATTAGCTTTACAGTGTCTCATAAATTGTAAGGGAGGCTGCTCTTGTTCTGTGAATTATATTTTACTAGCTTATCTATTTACAGTCATCAGCCTCTGATTTATTTCCCCTCATTTAACGTTAAAGAGAGAGCAAAGCCCTCCATGTCCCTGAAAAGCAACGCTAGATATGGGGTGGTGATTTGGAAGTATTTCTTTCTTATTATTCTTAAAAGCCTTTACTTTAATGCTGTAATTGTTCTTGTCGGATCAAATGTCAAATAAGAAGGTACATAATCAGCTCAAACAGAACAAAGCTTCAATTCAGCAACAAGGCCTTAAACCTTTGCCTTATTTATATCAAGATCCCTAATATAAAACCTCTCTTGAGCTTTTAAAGAGAGTGCTTGTTTTAATCTCACTCTTAGGTATTTTTTATCCTTCGAGAGAAGGACAGATTCCAAATTTGTGTGTGGCAGACACTATGCACTCAAAGAAAAGAACTGAGAAGGCAGTGTGACAATGTCAGATGGTTCTTCAAATGTACAGTCAAAGATGTTTTGTTAATAGATTTTCAGCTTTGTGTGAGCCTTAGCCAGTGTTAACAAGAAAGTTCTAGTGTGGATGGCCTATGAGATCTGCTTGCATTACATTCCCATCTTTATCCCCTTCCCTTCATGCAACACCCCCACCCCACCCCATTCTTATTATTTCTACTTGACATTCTGCTTGCTGGGGAGGGAGTATTTACTTCACAGTTCCCCAAATGAAAAGAGCATACCTTGCCAGTCAAAATAAGGAACACTGATGTTTTTAATACTTCATTAGTGAACTGATTTAAAATTTCACATTTTCTTTCCCTAATTATGTTTCATTTGGCTGAGTTGTATTCCTATAGGGTCTGCACTAGACTGTACTTGCTCAAATGTTTCTTCTTAATAGCCTGTTTCTGTTTTATAAGTAAACAAAAACATGACATAGTGATACTAGCAATAATAATCAAATCCCAGAACATAAAGTTTATAGGAATGATGTTCCATTTGCAATGGATCAGCAACTTTTTTGACATATGGTTGAAAATCGGCTCATTTATGTAGTCTGATTACATTTTAAAATGAAGGAATGCTTGTCATTGCTATGCGCTGTCAAGTCACTTCTTACTTGCACTGACCCTACTTGGGCTTTCAAGGTACATGAGATGTTCAAGTAGCGGTTTACCATTGCCATCCCCCTGTGTGTTTCCAGGGCCAAGAGGGAATTTGAATCCAAGTTTGTTCAGTCTTAGTTTTGACGCTCTGTTTACATTACACAGCACTCGCTCTCCAAATTATGCTCACAGATTAGTTTCTAGTATTTTAAGTAATAGATCTTTCATTTTTTATTCCTTTTATCACCATAAAACTATGTAACATATGAAAACTTAAGTGGCCTCTTGTAGCTATTACTGACAGTTGTATGAAAAAAAGAGGTTTAAAATATAGTCTAAGTATTTTAAGTATTACAAAGGTTAGAAGCCTATTGTACCTTAAAATTGATTTTCTGTTTAGAAGTACAGTGGCTCCTCGACTTACAAACTTAATCTGTTCCAGAAGATGGTCGTAACTCGAATTGGTCGTAAGTCGAAGCACCATTTCCCATAGGAATGCATTGAAACCCAATTAATCCGTTCCGGCCAGAAATAAAATCATCAAAAAACCCACACAAAAAAACCAAACACTGCAAGCCCCCATTGGAACACACTGGGGCCAGAAAAAAATTGCCATAAAGCCCCAAACAAACAGAGCAAGCCCCATCGGAACATGCTGGGGCAAAAAAAAAAAATCACCAAAAAACAAAACAGCACAGCAAGCCCCATTTGAACGTGCTGGGGCTGAAAGAAAATCACCAAAAAACAAAACAGCACAGCAAGCCCCGTTTCAACGTGCTGGGGCTGAAAAAAAATCACCAAAAAAACAAAACAACACAGCAAGCAGCATCAGAATGTGCTGGGGCTGGGGGGAAAATCACCAAAAAACAAAACAACACAGCAAGCCCCATCAGAATGTGCTGGGGCTGAAAAAAAAGTCCACCAAAAAAACAAAACAAGACAGCAAGCCCAATCGGACCATGCTGGGGCTGGAAAAAAACACACACATGCACCAAAAAACAACAAAAAATCATAGCACAGAAACATAACCCCCCAGCCCAAACCCATGCTGCAAAAACTTATATGTACTCACCCAGAAGCAGAAAGCAGCACAAGGCAGTCGGAAGCCTCTCTGCAAACGCACACATTCTAATTGTTGGGGTGAAAGAGCTATGAAGAAGCAGCCA